ACTCCAGCCTGGGCAAAAAAGTGAAACTGCATCTCACAAAAAAAAAAAAAAAAAAAAAAAAAAAAGGCTCTTTAAGAGATTTAACTTTTTATAGTGGAATGACAAACTTCTTTATTGTATTATCTTGATTGCTTATTCCTACTAAAGAAGGAGAGAATGTTGATTTGAAGCCTGGCTTTAATATTTTTTTGGTGCAACCTGTTCTGATGAACAAGTATTAAATATACCTATATATGCATGTGTATTTATATATATTTATGAAAAGTCATATTCTAAGCAGATAGTTGTCCTTCATGTATATTTCAGATAACCAGCATAACAATACACTGACCTAAACTACTTGGAACCTTGGGCTTAAATCTTTATTTGTATATAGAACCCCCATCTGTATTTGGCAGGCACTTGAATTATTTATTAGATACTTTTAATCTGTTATAGAGAATACTTTTCTTTCTCTCTTTCTCTCTCTCTCTCTCTCTTTTTTTTTTTTTTTTTTTTTTTTTTTTGCTTTAGAAGTGATCAGCTTTGTAAGGTATAAGTTTCTGAGACAGACCATTCAACCTGGAATATAAGTTAAGCCCTTCCTTAGCTTGTTTATTTTATTAATTAGACATAGTCTTAAAAAATTGGTGTATAAACTCACATTTTGAAATATTTTATTTTTGACTTCTAGTATAATTTCAGAGATGTTACCACAAAGGAAAAAAAGTTGGCTTTGACATGTAATAAAAACCATACTTGGGGATCAGATTCTTTCCTTTAAAGTAATGGCATTTGTTTTTCTTTTCAATTTGAATTCTATTGACTTAATAATGTTTCTAGAACTGTGGCAAAAATTTAGTCAAATGAACAGAATGATTTTTGTTTTGTTAAGCAAACCTAAATGGAATCCTTAATACATTTATTTAATTACATGCAGCTTCCCTTACTTTATACAGAAGGGATTTCTGGAAAACTCTGAGGGAAGATGTCTCTAGGAATAGAAAACTAAACAGGTAGGTCAGAGCCAGGCGCAGTGGCACGGGCCTCTAATCCTACTTACTCAGGAGGCTGAGATGGGAAGATCACTTGAGGCCAGGAGTTTGAGTCCAGCTTGAGCAACATTGCTAAATAAATACATAAAATAAAAAATAAACAGGCAGATCAGGCCTATATGTAATTTTATGTGAGATAGTTGGAATGGAAACGTATGCCACCATACATACTTGTCAAAATATGCCCAATTAATTCTCGTGTTGTGCACCAGATTGGCCAAAGTGACTGTGTTGACCAGGATGGGCCAGACATTCCGTATCCTATTAGTAACAGTGTAACTTAGTACATTCGAGGGGAGACCTGACAACCTTTTTGGTAATTTATGTTTTGTTAATTTTACCTTGTTGGGTTCTAGATATTTTTATAGTCCTAAAAATATTCTTGAGCTTTGTTCTGGCATGTGGTTAAGTTACCTGGAAACAATTCGATCTCTTCAGACCTGGCTTTGAAGTGTTGTTAAACTGGACTAAAACAACTTTTAATCTAGTTAATTTTCCCCACTTCTGAGTCAAGAACCTTCAGGGTACTGTAACTAATGCCTCGTGAATGATGAGGTTTTCTGCCCTGGCTTTTGAACGCAGGCACCATTGCCAGTTGCATGTGAGCTCTGAGCCCTGTTCACTCTAATCCTTTTTCATCCTTGGGTAGTTTACCCAGTCTCATGTGCCCATCGGCTTTCACCTGAATACTTGAGGAGGCCTCCTCAGCTGCAGGTGTTCTCCTGGGATGCAGCTCACTGTTCTCCCATACCCCCAGCTCTCTTTCCTTAACTCAGGGGACCCCAGGGCCCCTTCCCTGGGCCGAGGATTGGTTAGCTTCTCTCTGGGCAGTAAACTGAGGTACTAGTAGGGCTCACCTTATTTGTTTCCTGTGTCTCACTGTCCTTCATTTCCTGATGTCCAATGTCTTGAGAGCCATTTTTTCCACATAGTTTGTGCAGTTATTTAATTTGCCCAGTTTCAAGTGGGAGGCTGCATCTCCTTCCTGTTACTCCTTGTCCAGAATTGCCCTTGGTTTTAACCTTAAAGTGTGTGGGTTTTTTTTTTTTTTTTTTTTTTTTTTTTTTTTTTTAAAGAGGAGGGAAAACAGTCCTTGTCCACCCACAGCCAGTTTGAAATTCCAGACAGCATACTCAACATTTTTTTTGAGAAGGAGTCTTTCTCTATTGCCCAGGTTGGAGTGCAGTGGCATAATCTTTGCTCACTGCAACCTTCACCTCCCGGGTTCAAGTGATTCTCCTGCCTCAGGCTCCCAAGTAGCTGGGATTACAGGCTCCCACCACCATGCCTGGCTAATTTTTGTATTTTTAGTAAAAGACAGTGTTTCCCAAGTTGGCCAGGTTTATCTTGAACTCCGGACCTTAGGTGATCCGCTAGCCTCAGCCTCCCAAAGTGCTGGGATTACAGGCGTGAGCCACCACACCTGGCCTACACTCAACTCTTGCATCCCCTTTTTGCTGGTATTTACCCCCAAGTTCAGTACCTCTCATGGCCTCCCTCTTCAGGGAAGCCTTCTCTGACCAATCCCCAAACAGTACCTTCATGGAGCACCATGTTCTCACCCTGCTGTATTGTTCTTCACGTCACAGATTATTTCCTAAATCATGATATTTTTTTGTCCCTCAACGCATAGAATGTAAGCCCCATAAAAGCTGACCTCTTGTCTTTTTTGTTCACTGCTGAATCGCAGAGCCTAGAACAACTCCTGGGCACGTAGAGGCCCTCAGCAAATATCTGTTTAATAAATAAATAGATGAATGGCAGATTCTGTGCTGAGTGCTTTCCTAGCACCATCCTGGAGGCTGCCACCTCATGAGTTGCATAATCACTACTAGGAGTTTGCCAGCAGAGCCAAGCAGCAAAAGGGATTTCCAGACAGCAGGGACAACATCTGTAAGAAAGTTGGAAAGGCTTTACAAAAGTGACCTAGCATGGTATTCAGGAAAATACACTGTCATGAAAATCCTGATGAACAACTTCCTTTGCAAGATGTTTTCCCAGAATTTAGAAGAAAGTCTTGATAGTATTAGGCATCTTGTGTGTTTTTCCAATTGTGACATTCTAAAATACAACAAAGTTTATCACAAACATTCCTGTAGGTGTATACATCTACCCTCCCCCAGCCCACACTGAGAATTTAGTGCTTGTGAAGAGTAACTGTGAAACTTGGTCATGTGACCATCTGGTCAGTAGAAGAGATGACATTCTGTGAAGCAGCTGTTGCATAATTTATCTTACCTTGGCCTACAAGGGGGTGTGTTTTGAGTGGTAAGCCTTGTATAGTTTTCAAACTTCTCTCTATTTTATAGAATCTGTAGCTAATGTGCCAATTAACGTGGCGGTTTTGTGATAAAGCGTCAAGCAGTAAGACCCAGAACATAAGCTCATTTATTTCAGAAAGCTCAGCAGATGAAAACTACTTTCACTGCTATCATATTGTCCTAATTTCAATCCAGGACCTGATAGTAAAAAAGGGGCTCCGTAGCTTATTAATCAAGCCCCCAAGTTAAAGCTGTGCTTCTCTTGTTTGTTTTCTTGAGGTGTTTTCTTGATTCTATTTCTGTCAAGGTCTTTGAAGAAGAATAATTTTCTCTGTGAATAAACATTTTTTTCTAATAAACAGTGTAAATATATCTGAGAGTTCGAAGCATATGTAAATGGTTTTAAAAGAAAATATTTGTACTAGTTCATTTTGTTTTTTGTGAAAAACAAAATGTTAATATAAAATATTGATTACATTGTTAAAAATTTACCACTTCATAAAAGCAGATTTCTTAAACTGAGCCATGCAGCAGAAGATTTTGTTTCTGATTCAAAGAAGCACAAAAATGCAAACAGATTTTATGTTTGATGACATAATTTCTGGCTTTCTAAAACAGTCATTCTTACATATGTAAGTCAGAAGTATAGAGCCATAGCAATCTATTTTCATAATGAAGATGAGCAACCTTGTATCTCATATGCTAAATTTAAGTCGTTCTTATTTTTAGACTAAAAGTAAGCATGCTTTTAATACTTTTTAATGTCATGTGATCTCAGCTACAGTTTTGTATTTTTTTCAGAAGGGCAATTGAAATAAAAAATTAGGCTTATTATGTAATTAAACAATATTCCTTCATCTTAGTATAAACTCTCACTTAGCAAAACAGGAGTCAAATACAAACTCTTGGAATGACAGAGCTCCTCTTCAGATCCTGCCAACCATCCCTCCCCATCTGACCTTAACATTGTATTTTCGTGAGCATTTCGCAGTATTTCTCATCCCTTGTTCCCAGTCTTGACCCACTGACCCAAGAATCAAGAAAATGTCATGTTAGTGTCTACTAATTAGTGCACCCAGAGAGCCTTTTCATCTGGCCTTTCAACCTTGTGGAGGTAGGAGCACAAGCTGTCACTTGTATCATGCAGGGAAAATGAGCCTTTACTACATTTTCCCTGTTTTGCTAACAGCAGAGTAAGCCCAGCTGAGACTAAAGATGAATATGCAGGTTAGGAGGAAATTAACCTAAAATGTACTGCTGTTTGCATGATTGTCTTATAGACGGCACAGTACTGCCTACATTGAAATGCCCATAATGGAATGCCACATGCCTGAGATTTTTACCAGAGTATTCCTCTTGCAATACTCTGGTAAAGAGCATTATTTCAGTGTTATCATATTCGCTTGGAGAAATCATTTTAAGCAAGAAATATTATCTTATAAAAAAATTAGGTAGTTTTTTCATGCATTTAAGTTTCCCTTGTTTTTAGACATGTTTTTGGAGAATGCTGTACTTTGTTAGTGAGCCTTTGGTTCGAGTGCTCATTAATCAATGCTGTTGGTCCAGGGTCTCCTGAGCCTTCTGGGTTTTGGGGGATCAGCTACTGTAATTAAAGGAATGAAATATATCATGGTCACAAACTTACCACATCAGACATTTGAGGGTTTTGAACTAATATAATTAATCTTCTAAATTTTTTCCTCAGGTGTTTAAGATAGAAGTGTTAATGAATGGAAGAAAACATTTTGTCGAAAAAAGATACAGCGAATTTCATGCTTTGCACAAAAAGGTAACTTGTTTTTTGGTTGTTTTTCTTTTCTCTATGTGGCGAATGGTATAATGTTAACACTCCTCTCTATGGTTCTAAGAGCATTGATATTTCTTGGGTATGTATATACAGTGTCTTGTATCACGAAGTAGATTTCTTTTTAGAATAAATTCAGTTCCTTAAAGGTATGCTTTCTGAATAGGTAGATTTTCTGTTAAGATCGTTTACATATAAAAATCCGAGGCTGCAAGCTGTTCGCATTATGTTGCATTCAGTGTTACAGGTTCAGAAAGAATAAGACCCAGACCCTGTTTTATCCATGAAATACACTCAATGTTCTTTACAGAAAGGGGAGAAAAAACAAATGATTGTCTTACAGGAAGACATTTATTAAACTCAAATTATACTTAGGTGTACCTGGAAAAGATCATATACATGTACTTGCCTATTGAGAGACTGGGGAACACAAGTTAAAAGAAGCTCTTAGCCTTCTTTTGAATTGTAGAGCCACTTTACAAAACTCATGTTTCAGCACTAGGATACACTTCATTAAAGGTCTTAGATAAATGAAACAGAAAGACAAAAAGAAAAGCTGAGTTTTGAGGAGAAATGATTATTAAAGCATAGGAGAGTGAATGCTTCTTTATTTTCTACCTAAATTTAATTTTTTCTAAGTTATGAATTCTTATTGATGTGCTCAAATTATTTTAATATCTAGAAATACCTCATGAAATTGACCAGAAAAATCCTGCTAACAGGATAAACATATAAACGTTAACAGGATATTAATGAGAGATTAATGAGAATTGTTTCCTTCTGTTTTCTTTTAAAGGGGAGCTCAAAGTTATCGGTACACTTTGCTGTTAGGTCGGTAAGGGATAATCCACATCTAGTTCTCTAGTTAGCACTTTGTTTAACACAAGTTGACTTGGAAAAGAAACAGTACAGGTGAGCAAAGATTTACAGCAGGTGTTGCCAGCGACTTTTCAAAAGCTCCAACCCCAGGATGCAAAGAGAAACAAATCTAGAATCAGAGGCTCACTTCCTTCTCAGGGAATTCTGTTTTTGTTTGTGTGTTTTGGGAAAAAATCCTAGTGAGGTTTCTGCTGGGTACCTGATGAAATTAAGTCCCTACTGTGGGATTAAAACAAGTACTCCCTGCCTTGCCCAGCCTCTGTTAACCAGTCTGGAGGAGGCAGCCTGTCATATGCAGGCCCCTCGCTAACCTCCCAGGTCAGTACCCAGCACTCCATGACCCTAGCACAGCCCAGCTGTACTCTCCAGATACTCAGGGACCAGCTCCACACCAGGCACAACTGGGTGATTGCCAATTAGGCTTGCCCTGAGCTCGAGGCTGCCTGTGCTTCTGGAGTGGAGGCTTGTTCACCCTGTTCTCTGCTCTAATACAGTTTACTTTCTTCTGCAGAAGAGGACCCTCTCCCCAATGAGTATAGGCAGTTTGTAGCTATTCATGGTCAAAAAAATTTCTAGATTTTTCAGGACTCTCTCTTCTCTCAATATCTGCAGTTCTATTAATAATTTTAGCTATTCTTATAATTATATAATGAGATCTACTAGCATTAATAGAATAGAAATTATTTTAAAAAAATAGAAATTATCAAATCTCCCAATTTTGAGTATTTTTAGCAGCCTTTGAGACAACTTTACAGGGACATAGAGACAAATAAGCTTTGTGGAGCAGAGTTTTAGTTGGGATGCACTGTTTAATTTTATGTATTATCAAGGGGCTAGCAGCTGCTAGAAGTCTCCTCTATTTGCCCCCTTGTGATTGTATTAGATTTGGCAAAAAGGTAACTCTAAAAGGCAGTGAAATACAGATAATGATGGGGTATAAAAATAAACATAAATCTGTAAGTTTGACTGTAAGATAGTGCACTAAGAAGGGTTGAAATGGGTAAAAAATGCAGTCAGAGTACTCAGGCTTGACTGACTGCCACTGCCACATCATGCAACCTTACCCTTTTATTGCAGTTTTGGTACCTTAAATTTCCACAGTTGAATCTTGTGACATGCTTTGAATGTTAGAATTTAACATAAAATATTTTCCCTTTAAATGTAGTTAAATCTGTTGTTACTTAATCCTCTTGAAATATTCAACTATATTACCCCTTCAAAAATGAGATGTATTAGCAAGCATGTATGTTGCCTTGTTTTAATAGGTGTTTCTTCGTTTTGTTTAGGAGTTGCTGTCCCTCTTTTTTGAACTGTCTGTTTTATGCGCTTTCTCATTTATCTGCTAGGATCTCAGGGTTTTTTTGCCTATTAGTTTGTGTGGCCTATTAATACAATGTTAGCCATTTGCTGGAAGTGTTTTTTAACAAGGGCCTTTTAATTTTGGTTACAACATTTATTTTAATTTATGCAGGTGTTAAATTTTTGTGTTTTCTAATATGTCTATTTTTACCCTTTCAGATGCTATCTAAAATTAGTCTTGTTGTGCTATGATGAGTATTTGATTTCATTTTCTTTTAGTTTTTCTAGATTGGCATTTTTTAATTATCTAAGGGCAAATTCCTGGGCAACACCCTAGATATACTGAATCAGAATATTTGTGATGAAGCCCAATAATCTGCAGTACCCCAGATGATTGATGTCTGTTAAAGATTGAGAATTCCTATAGTATAATTATCACTTAGATACAAGCCTTCCTAACCTACTTCCATCACACATACCGAAATCACAAAGTTTAGAACCATATATTTCAAGGTTTTATACCTTCAAGTTTGTTCCTACCTTTCTGTTACCTTGCATTATCTTTCAAATTCCTACAATATGCACTACTTAATTTTTCATTTTCTCCATCTCCTGAGCTCAAGCGATCCACCTACCTCGGCCTCACAAAGTGCTAGGATTATAGGTGTGAGCCACAGCGACCGGCCATAATTTTTCATTTTCTTTTCTTTTCTTTTGAGATGGAGTCTTGCTCTTTCACCCAGGCTGGAGTGAAGTGGCTCAATCTCAGCTCACCACAACCTCTACCTGCCAGGTTTAAGCAATTCTACTGCCTCAGCCTCCCAAATAGCTGGGATTATAGGTGCCTACCACCGTGCTTGGCTAATTTTTATATTTTTAGTAGAGATGGTGTTTTGCCCTGTTGGCCAGGCTGGCCTCGAACACCTGATCTCAGGTGATCCGCCCACCTCGAGCTCCGAAAGTGCTAGAATTACAAGCATGAGCCACCGTGCCCAGCCTAATTTTTCATTTTCTATTCCTACTGTCCCAGTCCAGAATCTTCCTACATTATATCAGTATTACGTGAACCATTTCAGATTATCCAGTCTCTGCTGCAGGACAGTTTTCCTAAAACACCATTTTTATCTTCATTCATTTACTCAGATACACTGAAACAAGTCTCTATTGTCTACCATCAAAGACATTGACCTTCAAGGCCAATAATCTTTTTTTTTTTTTTTTTTTTGTAAGAGAAAAAAAGAAAGAGAAAAAAAGAAAGAAAGAAAAAGAAAGAAAGAGGAAGAAAAAGAGGGAGAGAGAACGGGAGTCTTGCTTTATTGCCCAGGCTAGAATGCAGTCCAAAAATGGATATTGAAAACCTCTTTTATGCCAATAATTGTGCTTAACAATGGAGACAGGAAGGAATAAGGGAGGAAAATAACAAACAAGTAGCCATCCAATATTTCATCTAACCCTGGGAAATGCTATGCAATTACTGAGGAGTGATTTACTTCCAATTATGTAGTCCCTTTTAGTGTAGGTGTGATGTGGTACTGATAAGAATGTATGTTTTGTGGATTTGGGGTGGAGAGTTCTATACATGTTTATTAAGTTTACTTGTTCCGGGTCTGAGGTCAAGTCCTGGATATCCTTGTTAATTTTCTGTCTTGTTGATCTGTCTGATATTGACAATGTAATGTTAAAGTCTCCCACTATTGTTGTGTGGGAGTCTAAGTCTCTTGATAAGTCATTAAGAACTTACCTTATATATTTGAGTGCTCCTGTATTGGGTGCATATATATTTAGGATCGTTAGTTCTTGTTGCATTGATTCTTTTATCATTATGTAATGTCCTTCTTTGCCTCTTTTGATGTTTGTTGCTTTAAAGTCTATTTTATCAGAGGTGAGAATTGCAGCTCCTGTTTTTTATTTATTTATTTAATTTTTGCTATCCGTTTGGTTGGTAAATCTTCCTCCATCCCTTTGTTTTGAGTCTTTGTGTATCCTTGCATGTGAGATGGTTCTGGATGCAGGATACCGATGACTTTTTGGCTTTTTACCCAATTTGCCTGTCTGTGTCATAAGATTGGGGCATTTCGCCAATTTAAGTTTAGGATTAATAATAATATATGTGAGTTTCATACTACCACTTGATGCTAGCTGGCTGTTTTGCCCATTAGTTGATGTAGATTCTTCATTATGTTGATGCTCTTTACCTTTTGGTATATTTTTGGAATGGCTGATACTGGTTGTTCCTTTCTATGTGTAGTGCTTCTTTCGGAAGCTCTTATAAAGCATGCCTAGTGGTGATGAAATCTCTGAGTACTTGCTTGTTCACAGAAGATTTTATTTTTCCTTCACTTATGAAGCTTAGCTTGGCTGGATGTGAAATTCTTGGTTGAAAGTTCTTTTCTTTAAGGATGTTGAATATTGGCCCCCACTCTCTTCTGGCTTGTAGAGTTTCTGCTGAGAGATCTGCTATGAGTCTGATAGGCTTCTCTTTGTGGGTAACCTGACATTTCTTTCTGGCCGCCCTTAGCATTTTCTCCTTCATTTCAACCCTGGTGAATCTGATGATTATATGCCTTGGGGTTGCTCTTCTTGAGGAATATCTTTGTGGTGTTCTCTGTATTACCTGGAGTTGAATATTATCCTGCCTTGCTAGGTTGGGAAAGTTTTCCTGAATAATATCCTGAAGAATCTTTTCCAACCTGGATTCATTCTGTTCGTCACATTCAGGTACACCTATCAAACGTAGATTAGGTCTTTTCACATAGTCCCATATTTCTTGGAGACTTTGCTCATTCCTTTTTACTCTTTTTTCTCTA